CTCGGTCGGCCTAATTCCGCAAGATCGTTGCCAGGACGTGCGGATATTAAAGATCTCACCATCGTTCGATATTCTCTCCTTCTCGTTTCCCCATTTCCCCGTTTCCTACTCGATACGATATAGGATACTTTCCTATAACATAATCAAACAAGTATCGTGTCCTCGATCGAGTAATAACGAAAATCACGTTAGAACATCGATCATTGTACTTTAACGTCCTTCCTTCTTTTTCCTTTTCTTTCTCTTTCTTCTTCTCTTTCTCTTTCTCTTTCTCTTTCTTCTTCCCTTTCTCTTTCTCCTTCTCTTTCATCTTCCTCTTTTATTTTTTCTTTCTTTGATTTATCCGAGAGTATCGATGGAAAAGAGTCGATGCGCAAGGTTCGTATCTTGTACGCCAGAAGTGGAGATTTTCTTGGCTCTCAGGAAAGTACGCGACGATAGACGCGTTGTCCTTGACACGGCGGGAACACACCGTCATCGTCGTCGTCTCTTGAGTACTCGAATGAATTTTACTCTTCGGGCGTCGAAAGTGAAACACCCAAGCTATTTAGAGACAACGTGACTGGAAATTTTTGATCGAATAAATTATTGGTTAACTTACGTATAATCATTCGGACGTTTTCCTGTTCGATCATCCTAGTAGACCTCGTCATCCACCATTCCATCGTTTACGTCACTCTAACTTCATTTCTACTACCTTCACTGTTACTTCCTTCCTTCTTTCCTTGCTTCCTTCCTTCCTTCCTTCCTTCCTTCCTTCCTCCTCTCTGTCTCTCCCACTCTCCCTCTCTTTCTCTCCACTCACCCAGCTACCCCCCCCCCACTATCTCTCTCTTTCACCTTTTCTTCCACCTTTACTTTCTCTTTTCTCGCTTCATTAACGCAACATCGTAGTTCTACAATTATGTGAGAAGAAAAAATCATCGAGAAGAAATATAAAAATACGATATATCTGTGAATAACGATGATCGTTAACATTAAATTGAGCGGTTACGAAATATACATAAACGTATCGTTGGTAAAATTCGGCCAAATTAATGTGGAAATAAATATAATAAATTTTGTATTTAAAATATTCGTTGCTTTAATGGGATATAATCATCCGATATTATCGATAACCTATGGAATTATATAATTGGCAAAATGTGAAAGGATATTATCTCTGAAACGATCGTAGTCGGAATTATCGCGTTGTATGAAAATATGTACAGAGGAATTGAGAATAATAGAAAAGAAGAAAAGGAAGGAAGAGAAAGGATAACGCCTTTCTCTCTCTTCTTTCTCCATACGTCCTGTTGTTAGGCTTAAATAAGAGATTCGTAAAAATCTGGTTGTTCAAATTGAAACGAATCATCGATGTTTTCTAGCAAGCATAGATAGGTGGAAATCGACGAGTTCGATGAACCTGTCGATCGAATTCTCTTCTGTACGCATTGAAAAAGCTTAGTTCGTGGTCTCATCGAATCTCTTTATGAATAAGCTGTTTCTACATCGCATCTACGTGTCGTGCGATTCAATGCCCAAATTGTTTCAAAATCATTCGTTCGAGTGTCGTAATCCCCGTAACTGCTTGATCTTGAATTCCGTACATGATGTCGCATGTGAGCTGATTTTCTTCCTTTTACTATACTTCGTTATCGACCTAGTACGTATTAAACACGCGAATCAAGTCGTAAATCAATTGGTAAATCTAGATCCACGACTAACGTTCAAAAATCAACGACGATACCAGAATAACTTCAAAGTGACGATTATTCCTCTGTATCGAATTTTCATTTCGATTTATCACTTTTCATAGTTGAACGAAAGGAGAAACGAAAATGACACGGCAAAAGGAACACGAAAAGGAAAGGACTGGAAAACAATCTTTCATCGTCATGATGGAATGTACCATGAACGTTATTTTTATGAAGAAACGCGAAACACGTTCGAAAAACGTGTAGCCGAAAGAATCGCAATGGATCGCAATGGATCGCAATGGATCGCAATGGATCGCAATGGATCGCAATGGATCGCATGATTAGCAAAGAAATAAATTTCACGCATCATCGTTGTCAGCGTCAATCGCATAATAAGCTCACGAGCCTCGTAAGATGTTTAGAGAAAAAACGTTAAATTTGAAATTGGTAAACCGAAGAATCATCCTTCCTTCCGTCAAAGGAAGCGTATGTCGTGGTAGTAACAGGCCGAATCGTACTGGAACAAATCATGGAGAGACAAACGTAATCGGTGCAACTCGTTTCTCTGTTTTCACGATCAGGTTTACCGTCAGACACTTACTAGCCGTGCCGCTGACACTGGCATTGGCCTACTCTCTCCGGTATAGTTCGTTCTCCCCGGCTTACCTTCATAGTCTCGCTTTCTTTCATATATTTTCGTCTTATCGTCGAACATTACATATTCCATTTCTACGCAATCGCGAAATATTCCAGCGACGAATGAAACGTAACAAACATTTGTAACGATACGAATGATGTAATGCTGCCTTGCCTCGTGTTACGAAAACGATAAAAACCTAAAGATGCATAGAAGAGAACGAAATGGATATTTATATATATTTATAAGTGTTTACAGATATTTCCAGATATCGATCAGTCGTTCGCCAGGATAAAGACGTCATAATCACTCGAAATATAATGTATTTCTCTCAAAGGATCGTAACCTTTTGCTCGATTGATAACAATGATAATAACGATATTGATAAATATAAAACGATAACGTTAACGATAACAATAACGATAACGATAACGATAACGATAACGATAACGATAACGATGACGATGACGATGACGATGACGATGACGATGACGATGACGATGACGATGACGATGACGATGACGATGACGATGACGATGACGATGACGATGACGATGACGATGACGATGACGATGACGATGACGATGACGATGACGATGACGATGACGATGACGATGACGATGACGATGACGATGACGATGACGATGACGATGACGATGACGATGACGATGACGATGACGATGACGATGACGATGACGATGACGATGACGATGACGATGACGATGACGATGACGATGACGATGACGATGACGATGACGATGACGATGACGATGACGATGACGATGACGATGACGATGACGATGACGATGACGATGACGATAATAATAATAACGGTAAGAAAGAAAGCCTGGTTTTTTCGGTACGGCCTAGTTTTCAGTGGGAAAAGTCGTCCGTTCCTCGTTCGTTCCCGCGTCGAATCCATCTGCGACGCACATCGACGTATCTAGACACGTGAGCATAACCATCCGATATGTTAGCACACACGAGTGTGTAACAGCGCGACCGATCACGTAGGACAAGTGTCAAGTAGATAAATGTCCGCGAAACCTATCGGTTGGGAAACGCGTACGAACGCGCACAGGTCGCGCACGCCACCCATATACCTTTCAACTTATGAAAAACGTAAACGCAAACTTATTCCAGCTTTTCGTCTCCACGTCTCCATATTTTTCATACACGTTATATACGCGTTCGATTCTTCTGCTTTTCCCGTTCTTACGATATGGGTTACGATGGGGTGCCGCCGGATACTAACCGAAATTTTACATTCTTTTTACTATATGCAACCTATCGTACTTTACTGCACGTCCGAGATATAGTTGTTCGAAATCTCTATCAGAACGAAATCGCACTTTCTTTACGTCGTGTACGCGCGAAAGTATCCTTCGCCCGTTCGTTCGTTCAAAAGGTCCATAACAACCAAGGAAACTGAGGTACGGTGCAACGACCGATCGTCAAGTAGGTCAGTTGTGGGCGCACGCAATCGTCGCAACGATTTTGAAAAACTGTCGTTCTACTTTTACATGGGAGCACTTTCACGGTCGCTAACCCCACGACAACGATACTTGCCATATATTTTGCATCTTCTCGTATTATACCTACGTACCCACGCGCGCGCGCGCGCGCGCACAAGTTGCTTTGCGAATGCAATTGTCACGTGTATCTCTTCCAACCTTTTCATCGCCTATTTCCTTCCCGTTTACCAAACTGTTGTATCCTTTACGCATTTTACCATCCAGATACGTACGCACCTCGTTCCTCTTTGCTTTACTCTGCTATTCTATATGTATCGACGTATATCTATCGCAAAGAAAAGTTACTACGTGTCGAGAACATAGCATCGAGAGTAGAACGAATTCGAATTGTCGACAGAGAGCATCTCGAAACGATGTTAGTCGTTACTCATCCTTGACATCGTTTACGAATCTACCCTACTCGTGATCATGCGCATATGCGATTAGTCGATTAGTCGATCGAACGTTATAACGTAACAATTGAGATTACCTCGCGAAATAAAGAAAGAAACAAACAACTAAGACTTACATAGGATTAACGAATTGCTTTCATGCCAGGCATTGATCCTTCGTTTCCCTTCGTTTCTCTTCATTTCCCTTCGCTTTTCTTCGTTTTCGAATAAATAAACACCTCCAAACAGATTGCGATAATGGTGGAAAATCGATCCGAGTTCAGTCCATCCAGGGATGAAATTTTTCTGTTTCCGTCAACTATCTATGTAAATTATTCTATCTTGTGATAGAAGATCAATTGTAATTATCAAGATCTTGATAAATCAATAACAATTAGGGAAAATGATTCAAATTTCTACTTATCTTTCTCCTGCTTCAATCTTGCTTTCAGTGAGATCTTCGTGTCATTGTCGTGTTTCTTTTCTCGAGAAGAATCTTTGGAATTCTCCTATCGTTTCTATTTCGAATAAAAGAGGCAAATACGCATAGTTGCGCATTGAACGAACATCCGATACCTATATCATTGCAGTTGGAGGGATATTGCATAATTGGCACATTCATATAATACATACGTGAACAATACAATGTACACAGACATTAAATAATAGCAGTATTTTCCAAAGGCGAAAGCAAACTAAACTTTTAAACGATTAAAGAGAAAAGGATATGTTACAGGAAAATGTATGTGTGTGTACATGTGTGTACATGTGTGTGCATGTGGAAAGAGGGAGAAAAGAAGGAGAAAGGAGAAGGAAAAAACAGAGAAGAAAGAGAAACACGAGTGCGGGTGCGCGACTGCATGCGCCGCTGCGGCGACGCCATAGTACCGCAACCCGCCGTCCACCGTCGTCTCGGCGCCACAGTCTTTCTCTCCGTATGCACGGAGCCGGCTGAAACTGACCGTCCAGCACGTACATACCTTTTTCCCTTTCCTTTTTAACGTGTACGTCCACTATCTCGACACGCTTCTTATACAATGGTAAGTAAAATATTTGAAATAGAAAACCTCGAATATTCTTACCGCTTCTAATATTTTCATTCTACGTGAAAAAAATACCACGCGCACCCACCACAGTTACACACGAATTCGAATAATTCTTTATCGACACACCTCGTATTTCGTACTGATTTCAAACTACTTTACGTTCGTTTAATCCTGTACAGTTTCCCTTTGGTTGAAATTTAATCGATATCAATTCGTTCGATGCATCGTTTCGTTATACGATTCACTCTAATCGATGGCTGCACGATACTTTGTTTCTTAATAACAGTCGATTTTATGCAACGTAAACGATACTTTTCATTGCCATTCAAGGAAAATCAATAAATCGCACAATCCACTTGTCTTATTGCTTTTGACACTTTACGTATTAGCGATATATGTCCGTACGATCCGAAGAACGAAAACAGAGGTGAGAATGAAGCAAAACTTCGAAGCTACTCCATACCCAGCTTTTCTAAATCACCGCGAGATCGCAGCACCTCTCTTGAAATTATTATTTTACATCGATATGGTCACTTTTCCGTAAAACTATTATTACGTTCTTCCACCATTAAATAAGTATTAAAGTATTTAATAAAGTTGTAAAGAATAAAAGTAAAGTAAAACCACATTTTTGCATTCTTAATTCCACACAAGGGCAACATCACTATCATCATATTATTATCGTAGTCGTCGTCGTCGTCGTCGTCGTCGTCGTCGTCGTCGTCGTCGTCGTCGTCGTCGTCGTCG